TTTTTTGAGACAGAATCTCACTTTGTTGTCCAGGCTAGAGTGAGTGCCATGACATCAGCCTAGCTCACAGCAAACTCAATCTCCTGGGCTCAAGTGATCCTCCTGCCTCATTCTCCTGAGTAGCTGGGACTATAGGCAGGTACCACCATGCCCAGCTAATTTTTTTATATATATGTTTAGTTGTCCAGCTAATTTCTTTCTGTTTTTAGTAGAGACAGGGTCTCGCTCTTGCTCAGGCTGGTCTCCAACTCCAGACCTTGAGCAGTCCTCCTGCCTTGCCCTCCCAGAGTGATAGGATTACAGGTGTGAGCCACCACACCCAGCCTACATTCATTAGATTCTTTATGTAAGTTTTCTGGAATTCCAGAACCTCATTCCCTCTAGAAGGGTCCTTCAGGGTTCTTCACAGGCATTAGACCTGGCTCTCTCTAGAACAAATGCCCCCCAGAAGCACTCCAGAGACATAGAGGAGGAGCTGGCAGGGCTTGCTCTAGACACACCATGAGCTCTTTCAGGCTTCTGAGGACCCAGGGGAGAATTAACATCTCTTCTAGAAAAGACCAGGATGATCAACACTAGAGGAAGTATTCCTTGTTCCTGGGCGCTGCATCTAGAAGTATTTAGACATGGGCAAGTGGGCACTGCAGCTTCTAGAACTGCCAAGAGCCTCTCCAGACATTTGCCAACATATTCTACTGCTGCTTCTAGAATGTTCAGGCAGTTCCAGAAAGCTTCCCCTTCTCTCCAAGTCTGCCCAACTAGAATCGCTTTAGAAATGGGTGTCCATCTGCTCCAGAACCACCATAAACTTCTCCAGAAGGTGCTAGGTCTCTGGAGACACGTACCACCAGTTCTGGAATGATCAGACTATTCCATAAAATTTCCCGGCTCTCAAGGCCCAGTAGCTGTCCAGAGGGGAGATAAGTCTGCATTAATGCCCACCCACTCAGGCAGGAAGGTGGCCTCTGGCTTAAAGATCCTTAGGAACTCAGAGTCTGGCAGGGTGAAGTTGGCCAGGTAGACAGTATCTCCACCAGCCAGGTAGGCAGCCCAGAAGCAGAAGGTGCCAATGGTCATGATGGTGTGGTTGCACTGTGTGAGCACTGCAAAGTCTGTCTCCGGTGTGCCCTCCTGCCAGTTGCCAGCAAAGATCACATCACCCTGGGAAATGCCAATGTTTTTCTGGCACCACTCCATGCCATTACTAGTGACCACAAAAATAGGGGCTTCATACTGTGCCCTGAACCAGTCCATGGCCTGCCAAAGGTAGGCTCGGTCACCCACCACACCCTTCCAGCACTGAGGCATAACCTCCAGATAGTCCCCACGGCACACATGGACACCCACGAAGGTCCTGGGTCGGTCCCCAGTGCGGCCCAGACGGAGAGGACTCAGTAAACTCTGAGTTTAAACTTCATCCGCAGGGTGAACTCACTGCTGATCTGTTCTCGGAGATGGTGGAAGAAAGTCCAAGAACAGGGGAAGCCAGAGAGCTTGAGCCAGGGATCCTTCAAGTGGGCATACTCCTCTGACATCCAGTCATGCAGCTGCAGCTTCTGCCAAGGCGTGCGGCTGTCCACTTCCAGCGACAGCATAGGCAGGGTGATGCGGAACACTGGGGCCAAGGTGGCATGCATGGCTGGCTGGATGAAGGCTCTGCGGCCGTTCAGCTGGGCCAGGGTGAGCAGGGTGGCATATTGCCCCATCTGGTTACCAAACCGGCCGTCTGGGTATATAGTCCAGGTTCCTGAGAGGGAGGCAGGGAGCTGAGCTCCTCACGGATGGTGGACCCACAGGTGGCTTTGCGTGGCCGGAGCGCGCTGTCCTCAAAGGCAGCTCACATCCGGCTGTCCCCGGAACCCCTTACGCCGTTCCCTGGCCCCCCAGCCCTCCCTGGGCGCCGCCTGCCCCGACTCCTGAATGTAATTCTATATGTAAAAATATGTTTTTATAGTTTCTGGTTACATCCGTACAACAAACATAATGTTCTTTCTAAAGAAGTTCCATATGCAACCCTAACCCTAACCCTATCTCAAAACCCTAACCCTAACCCTGCAGATGTTTCCTCTTTTACAGTTTCCATTTAATTTTGCTAATTCCAGGTTAAAATGCTATATTCTTCATTTATTTTTATTTTTATTTTTGCAATCTCTATTTTTGCTTGTTATCTTCTTTACATAAAATAGTAATTTCATACCATCATGGTGGATGAACCAAATAAAAAGAAGAAAACGAAGATGTGTTTTTGATAGGAAAAATTGTAAGAAAGGTATAAAATGTGTTATTGTAAAATAGAATAATTTTGTATTGTTTAAAGGTTATTCAGAGATTGTTTTCAAAATGTACATTTAGGAAAAAAATAAGCAAGAAGGCAGAAAAGGACCAGTAAGTAGAAGACAGATACAGAGAAAGGGATAAGTAGGAAGATGTACAAAAATACATTAGGAAAGTAAAGTAAGGAAAGTAAAAACAGAAAGAAAACAATTTTTTGTATGATAAAGAATTTCGTTTGGTCAAAATATAAGGGAAAGAGGAAAATAAACTTGTATACTATGGTAACATATTTGGCTATTAAAAAGAAGGCTTATAAGGTTTGAACAAGTCATAGAATGTCTAAGGAAGTTGCTGAAGGTTTATGAAAGATGAATCTTATAAAAGGAGTGTTCTGTGTAATCAAGTTGGCTATAGGTAAGAGGAAATTATAAGTTTTTCTAAAAGCTGAATATGAGCACACCAATACAAAACAGAAGTCTAGTTCTCTATATTTAAACCAACAAGATTTGCTTGGAGTATTGATCTGCTCTTGGTAAAAAGAAATTACATGAGGTTTTGACTTTTAATTCTGAAACCTGTTTATTTAACGTTTTAAAGAAACTTTAAGCTGAACTTCTGAACTGCAGATGTTTCCTCTTTTACAGTTTCCATTTAATTTCGCTAATTCCAGGTTAAAATGCTATATCCTTCATTTATTTTTATTTTTAATTTTGCAATCTCTATTTTTGCTTGCTTGTTATCTTCTTTACTTAAAATAGTAATTTCATACCATCATGGTGGATGAACCAAATTAAAAAAATAGTAATTTCATTTCTCAAAACAGAGTTTTTCTTTTGAAGTTTTTTAGATACTTATTTCAGAAGTTTGACTTTTGGTCCATCTCACTGCATGTCATTTGCAGGTCCTACATCATTGCCTTCTCTTCTTCTTTCTCTCCTTGATAAGGTATATATATTTTTTGCTTACTTTAGTAATGACTCTCCTCCTTGACTTTATGATCAGCTCCTGTAACATATTTTTCCAGTTCTACCTTTGCTGTTGGCCAGGCATGGTGGCTCATGCCTGCAGTCTCAGCACTTTGGGAGGCTAAGGTGGAAGGATTGATGGAGGCCAGGAGTTAGAGTCCAGATTGGACAACATAGCAAGACTCTGTCTCTAAAAAAAATTTTTTTTTAAATTAGCATGGCATGGTGACATGTGTCTGTAGTCCTAGCTACTCAGAGGATGAGGCAGGAGAATTGCTTGAGCCTAGAAGTTTGAGATTACAATGAGCTATGATCATACCACTGCACTCTATCTGGGCAACAACAGAGTGAGATCTTGTTTCTGGAAAAAAAAAAACAAAACCAAACTTTGCTGTTGTGGCCTGATGCCAAAATGTTTCTTTGAAGGCCTAGAAAAGCAATGTTTTGTTTGCTTATCAAGTTTTCTATAACTTGATTCAGTACTCTTGGCTTTATTTGATGTGTCTAAATGGTTCTATGTAACTAGACATTTTACATGCTTTTACTTTTTCATGGAGCCCTATATTTCCTTAAGTACTTTTTTTCTTATTTACTTCTTCTATGATACTGTTTGCACTCATAACCTGAGCCCACACTTTTCCATTATCTCATTGAATAGAAATCCCTTTTTCTTCAGGTTCTATTCTAGGTTATCTTAATGGGCTTAATGGGCTTCACTTAAGGAGAAGCAGTCACACTGCAGGAGGTTTTCCTTTACCTTTTGGTAATTGGCCTGGGAAACAAAGATTGCATGTTTTATGAAGATAATTTCCTGTGCTTTGTGTTGTCTTTATTTGGTTTTAAATTACTTAGGAAAACTGAGTTTTGAAAGAATTGCTTTTTAGGCCTAAGGCAGTGGCTCATGCCTGTAATCCTAGCACTCTGGGAGGCTTAGGTGAGTGGCTAGTTTGAGGTCATGAGTTCAAAACTAGCCTGAGCAAGAGCCAGACTCCTGTCTCTACTAAAAATAGAAAGAAATTAATTGACTAACTAAAAATACATAGAAAAAATTAGCCGGGGATGGTGACGCTTGCCTGTAGTCCCAGCTACTTGGAAAGCTGAAGCAGAAGGATCACCTGAGCCCAGGAGTTTGAGGCTGCTGTGAGCTAGGCTGATGCCACGGCACTCTAGCAAGGGCAACAGAATGAGACTGTGTCTCAAAAAAAAAAAAAAAAAAAAAAGAAAGACTTGCTTTTTAAAATTGATGTAACTTTCTGTATTTGGTTTTGGGATTTTTTTTTTTTTTTTTTCTGAGACAGGATATCACTCTGTAGCCCTGGCTAGAGTGCATTGGCATCATTATAGCTCACTGAAATCTCAAACTCTGGGGCTCAAACGATCCTCCTGCCTCAGCCTCCCAATTAGCTGGGACTACAGGCACATGCTGCCACACCTGGCTAATTTTTCTATATTTTGTGGAGATAGGGTCACACTCTTGCTCAGGTTGGTTTTGAACTCCTGGCCTCAAGCAATCTTCCCACCTCAGCTTCCTAAAGTGCTAGAATTACAGGTGTGAGCCACACCTGGCTTTTTGAAATCTTTTGTCACTCGGGTTAAGTGAGTGACTATTATATCATAATGATCTATAATTCTGTGTTAATTAAATGTTTTAAATCTTTTAACATTTTGGGTAGGCTTCCTTAGTATCAAAGTTCTAAATTAAGTCTTTTGACCTAGAATGAACTTTGGGATTTTCCAGTTGGGCCCCTGGAGAACATCAAAGGATGTATCTCTCATCTTGTATAGATGTCAAACTTACTGGGTTTATGTGATGAATTGAATTGTATGGGAAGCATGAAAGGCGTGGACAGGGTCAAATAATAAAGTAATACTAAATCTTTAAGTTATAATTTATTCTGATGCAATTATAGGGAAAAAGGAACAAAAAAATAAGTTATAATTTAGATGGATTTGTTATTGGTATGCATGTTGTAAAGATTATGAGAGGTCAGGTGTGGTGGCTTATCCCTGTAATTCTAGCACTTTGGGAGGCTGAGGCAGGAGTATTTTTTGAGGCCAGAAGTTTTAGACCAGCCTGAGGATGAGCAAGACCTCCTCTCTACACAAAATAGAAAAATTGATTGGGCATGGTGGTGTGCATCTGTAGTCCCAGCTACCTGGGAGACTGAGGCAGGAGAATTGTTTGAGCCCATGAGTTTGAGATTGCAGTGAGCTATGATGATGCCACTACACTCTAGCCCAGGTGACAGAACAAGACTTTGTCTCAAATAAATAAATAAATAAATAAATAAATAAATAAATAAGTAAAGATTATGTGACATTTATAAAATTCTACTGGTTTTAGTGTAGCACTGTCAGTCATGATTGCTATGTTAAAATGCTACATACAATAAAATTAACTAAATTTCCTTGTCAATTACCAAACTCTCATCAGATTTTAAACCATGAGTATTCTATGTCTCTGTCATTCACAATTTTGATTCTTCTCTAAAGTCATTTGCAATCAGATCCATGAAAAAGACTCTAATAAGCATTCTTGAATACAATTCTCTAATAACTTTAAAGATCAGTGGACTGAATAGAAATTTCTAGAATTCTAATGAAGAAGCTAATGCATTGATGAAAACACTTATCAAGATCAAGTAAAATAAAATTTATTACATGAGATCGAACATCTAATGAAAATAATATTTTTATGACTTTTATTTGAAACATGGTTTGTTCTTGGCTTAAAAGTCTTTTTTCCAGATTTAAGGAAACCTCTTTTAAGTTATGTATAGTTTATAGCAGTTTGGGTAAAGTATACTTTGGGGAACAAATTTGATTGGTTTGGCTTTCTAGCCTTGAGAAGATTTTTTTTTTGAGACAGAGTCTTACTCTGTCATCCCAGCTAGAGTGCTGTGGTGTCAGCCTAGCTCACAGCAACCTCAAACTCCTGGGCTCAAGCAATCCTGCCTCAGCCTCCCGAGTAGCTAGGACTACAGGCATGTGCCACCATGCCCAGCTGATTTTTTTGTATGTAGTTTTAGTTGTCCAGCTAATTTTTTTCTAGTTTTAGTAGAGACGGGGATCTTACTGTTGCTCAGGCTGGTCTCGAACTTCTGAGCTCAAACGATCCTCCCCCCTCAGCCTCCTAGAGTGCTAGGATTATAGGCGTGAGCCACCGCGCCCAGCCAAAACTAATCTTATTTTACCAAAAAAAAAATAAAATAAAATTAGTCTTAGTCTCATTATCTTGGGTAGAATCAGAATGACTGTAGAGAAAAAGATTATGTTTCTAAAGAAATACTATAATATACCTGTTATTATATTGTGGCCCTGTGAATTGCTTTAGAGTTTTTATTATTTCTTTGTTGATTGCACTGGAATCTGCACTGGGTCCTCAATTATTCTAGGCTTGTCTAATCCAATTTTATTCCACGGAATTACTAAGAAAGGAAACTGCTCTTTCATATAGCTCCGTACAGTGAAGCTAGACAAGGTTGTGCAGCCAGACAGAAATTTCACCAAACCACACAGTGCCATAGCCAGAGACTTCAAACTATGAACAAGGATGAGTTGATACCTTCATACTAAGGACAGCTTTACCCAAGATGACAGGACAAGACTCCCCATATGAGATTCTTACCTTGCTTAATTTTTCCTTGCTTATGTCTACCTTTTTCACATGGCAGTATAATGCTGTAATTTAAATTTCTAGGGTTTTTTTTTAATTTAAAAAAAATTTATTTTTTTATTATTTACTTATTTACTCTATTTATTATTTTTTGAAGACGCAGTCGCTCTTGTTTCTGTTGCCTAGGCTTACGAGTTGAGTACCATTGGTGTCCAGCTAAGCTTCAGCATACCTCAAGACTCTCTGGGGTCAAGGCAACGTCTCTAGCCTCTGCCTGCACTTGATAGCTGATGGTAACTAAGGTCATGGTAGGACACCATTGCCTGGCTAATGTTCTTTTCTATCTATATTGGTTGGCCAATAATTTCTTTTCATATTTTTATATATATGATGATGTGGTCCGGCTCGTTTTGGTTTTGAGACTCCTGACCTTGGCAATCCGCCATTGCCTCAAGCTCCCCAGGTGGTTGACGCCCACTCGCACCCGGCCCTATTTGTGATTTTTAGATCAAAGTCTTGCTCTGTTGTGGCTAGAGAAGATCACCTAGGCGTGGAGCCTGAGCCCTGGCGCTCCGAGAGTCCTCCTGCCTCAGCCTCCTCTGGAGTAGCTAGGACTACAGGCATGTACTACCATGCCAGGCTAATTTTTTTCTACTGGTGTAATTTAAATTTCAAAATCCATAGCTACTCTGGGTAACTTGATAAAATGTTGGGTCTATCATGCTAATCCAATATTTTTGCATGACCCTCCCCTTCCCCCCCCAAAAAATCCTTTTGTCCACCTAGTGTGTAACTAACAATGTCCCTAATACAACTCTTGTTCACTCTCTGCTTTAAGTCAACAGAGTCATGAGATACTAGATGACATAATTGTTTTTGAATGTTTATTAGCCTGACAATGTGGTGTCAGGCTAATAAACCATACCCAGCTAATTTTTTCTATATATATTAGTTGGCCAATTAACTTCTTTCTTTCTATAGTAGAGACAGGGTCTCGCTCTTGCTCAGGCTGGTTTCGAACTCCTGACCTCGAGCAATCTGCCCGCCTGGGCCTCCCAGAGTGCTAGGATTACAGGCGTGAGCCACCACGCCCGGCCTGTATAGGCATTTTGATAAAAGCCATTTTAACTGGGGTGTGATGATGTCTCATTGAAGTTTTGCTGTGCATTTTTCTGACAAATAATGATATTGAGCATGTTTTCATATTGCAGTTGAACAGGTGTATGCCTTCTTGAGAGACATGTCTATTCAGATCTTTTGCTCATTTTAAAATGAGATTATTTCATTTTTTCTCTATTGAGTTGTTAAAGCTCCTTATATATTCTATTATAGTTACTAATCCTTGTCAGATGGGTAGTTGGTAAATATTTTCTCCCATTCTATGGGTTGTCCCTTCACTCTGTCGATCGTTTCCTTTCCTGCGCAGAAGCTCTTTAGTTTGATGTGACTCCATTTGTCTAATTTTGCTTTGGTTGCCCATGCTTTGGGGGTATTACTCAAGAAATTATTGCCCTGACCTGAAGGATTTCTGCAATTTTTTTTTTTTTTTTTGAGACAGAGTCATTCTGTTGCCCTGGCTAGGGTGCCATGGCATCAGCCTAGCTCATAGCAATCTCAAAGTCCTGGGCTCAAGCCATCCTCCTGCCTCAGCCTCCCTAATAGCTGGGACTACATGCATGTGCCACCATGCCTGGCTAATTTTTTCTATATGTTTTTAGTTGTTGTCCAGCTAATTTCTTTCTATTATTAGTAGAGACAGGGTCTTGCTCTTGCTCACGCTGATCTTAAACTCCTGAGCTCAAGCAATCCTCCCACCTCGGCCTCCCAGAGTGCTAGGATTACAGGTGTGAGCCACCGTCCCCAGCCTCCCTAATTGTTTTAATAGTTTCATATAGTTTGAAGTCTTAGATATAAGTCTTTAATCCATTTTGATGTGTTTTTTGTATATGGTGAGAGATGAGTGTCTAGTTTCAATCTTCTGTATATGTATACCTGTGTATCCAATTTTCCCAGCTCTGCTTATTGAAGAGACTGTCCTTTCCCCAGTGTGTGTTGTTGGCATCTTTGTGGAAGATACATTCACTATAGACAAGTGGCTTTATTTCTGGGTTCTCTGTTCTGTTCCGTAGATCTATGTGTCTGTTTTTAGGTCAGTACCATGCTGTTTGGATGACCACAACTCTATAGTATAATTTGAAGCCAGATAATGTGATTCCTCCAGTTTTATTATTTTTACTCAGGATGGCTTTCACTATTCCGGATCATTTGTGGCTCCGTATAAATTTTAAGATTATTTTTTCTGGTCTGTGAAGAATGTTATTGGTATTTTGATGCAGATTGCATTACTCAAATTACTTTGAGTAATGTGGACAGTTTAACAAAATTGATTTTTCCAATCCATGAGCATGGACAATCTTTCCATTTTTTGGTTTTCTTCAATTCTTTTCTCTTTTTTTTTGAGACAGAGTGTCACTTTGTTGCCCAGGCTAGAGTGAGTGCCGTGGCGTCAGCCTAGCTCACAGCAACCTCAAACTCCTGGGTTCAAGAAATCTTGCTGCCTCAGCCTCCTGAGTAGCTGGGACTACAGGCATGCACCACCATGCCCAGCTAATTTTTTCTATATATATTAGTTGGCCAATTAATTTCTATTTATAGTAAGACGGGGTCTCGCTCCTGCTCAGGCTGGTTTCAAACTTTGAGCAATCTGCCAGCCTCGGCCTCCCAGAGTGCTAGGATTTCAGGCGTGAGCCACCGTGCCCAGCCTTCAATTTCTTTTATAAATGATTTATAGTTTCCATTGTGTTAATAGAGAGCTTTCCATTACTTTGGTTAAGTTTATTTCTAGGTATTTTATTTTATTTAAAGATATTGTAAATAGGGTTACTTTTTTGATTTCTTTGTCAGATTGTTTGCTATTGGAATATAGAATTGCTACTTATTTTTGTATGTGATTTTGTATCCTGCACCTTCACTCTATCAGTTATAAATAGATATTTTTGTGGAGTTTTTTTGTTTCTCTAGATATAAGATCATATTATCTGCAAACAAGGATAATTTGACTTCTTCCTTTTTAATTTGGATGCCCTTTATTTCTTTCTATTGTTTGATTGCTCCAGCTAGCAATTTCAGTACTGTGTTGAACAGCAGTGTTGAAAGTAAGCATCCTTGCCTTGTTCTAGATCTTAGAGGAAAAGCTTTCAATTTTCCGCCATTGAGTGTGGTCCTAGCTGTGGGTCTGTCAAATATGGTTTTTATTGTGTTAAGGTAAGTTCCTTCTATACCCAGTTTTTTTAGAGTTTGTATCATGAAAGGATATTGAATTTCATCAATGCTTTTTCAGCATCAATTGAAAAGATTCTCTAGCCCAGGCAACAGAGTGAGACTCTGTCTCAAAAAAAAGAAAAAAAGAAAAGATCCAAAGGGTTTTGTTATTCATTCTGTCAATATGATGCATCACATTGATTGATTTGCATATGTTGAGGCAGCCTTGCATCTCTAGGATGAATCTCACTTATTCATGATGAAATCTTTTTAATGTGTTGTTAAATCCAATTTGTTAGTATTTTGTTGAGGATTTTTGCATCTGTGTTCATCAGAGATGTTGGCCTATAGTTTTCTTTTGGCTGTGCCTTTGTTTGGTTTTGGTATCAGGGTGATATAGGTCTTGGAGAATGAGTTTGAGAATATTCCTTCTTTATTTTTTGGAATAGTTTAAGTAGGATTCCTATTAGTTTTTCGAATGTGTGTGTGGTAGAATTCGGCAGTGAAGCAATCAGATCCTGGGCTTTTCTTTGATGGGAGATTATTATTGTTTTTTCTCTTATTACTTACTATTAGTTTATTCAGGTTTTGGATTATTTTTAATTAGTTTAATTTAGGTAGGTTACATGTGTCTGGAAATTTATTTCTTCCAGGTTTTCCAATTTATTGGCATATTGTTGCTCATAGGAGTCTCTAACGATTCTTTGAATTTCTGTAATGTCAGTTGTAATGTCTCCTTTTTGATCTCAGATTTTATTTATTTGGGTCTTCTATCTTTTTTTCTTAATTTGGCTAAAGGTTTCTCAAAAGACAAACTTTTTATTTTGTTGATCTTTTGTATTTCTTTATTTCATTTATTTCTGCTCTGATCTTTATAATTTCTTATGACTTAGCTTTCCAAAAGGATGTAAGATTATTTTACTATCGTATAGACATATTTAAAACATACTGTAGGACTAAATGGTTTTAGCTTTTGTCTAAAAGAGAACATGGATGTCTTTATTGGCTCTGACTTTAGTTCAGAAAGCTCCATTACCGCCCAGGAAGGAAGGCTTGGGCTGGTGATGCCCTGAGGCTGCTGACAATACACAGTGTGGACATCCCCTTCCAGGGCAGGGGCCACGCCTTGTTTAGTGAAGCCCTTTCCTGGCACAGCCAACAGCCAGCAGCTGCGGAAATTGGATCCATTAATCAGGAGTGAACTGGGTCCCCATACTCTGGTTAGCAGTGAGGATCCCTGGGAAGAGGAGCTTTAGTCTAATGGCTCAGGTTCACTCCCACAGAGAATGTTCCAGATCCTGGGCGTGGATCTTGTGTGTATTATCCCACTGAACAGCACAGAAATAGGCAAGGGCATAACAGATATCCAGGAAGAGGTTAAAGGAGGGAATTGATCAAAATGGTAACGATTTCATTTTGATAGCTTCCGTTCCTGGAGTGGAACCTCACTGATCAGAGTGCTTGTTCCCTACATCAGTAACTGGAGATCCCTGAGATTCAAACTGAAAAGCAGGTTAATTGATCATGGAAGACACTAGACAGTTTAAACTCATGTTCCCTTTATTTCTGGCTCTTCCTTTACAATGATTCCCACATATTCATTCCACGCTCCCAGTTGCATGGGACGACCTCTCACCACACTGAAAGCAGGGGAGGGTACGGAACTCGATCCTCTTGGGCTGCCTTAAGTCCCTTAGTATCTCCATCAGCTGAGCCTGAAGCTGGAGAAATTTCTCCTGGTCGATATCTTTAAAATCATCATCATAACACTCCCTAGGGACAGGATATATCTCCAGGCTTAACTTGCTCAGCCCAATGGTGTGGCGCAATAGATTCTCTAGGGAAGCCTTGGAGATTTGGTTCCCACTGAAGTTTAAGGTCATGAGCTGATGGCAGCGGCTCAAGGAAGGTAGGATGACACTGAGCTGGGAGTCTGTTATCGAACAGTCCTCTAAGATCAGGACCTGCAGGCTGGCTGCAATGTTCTCTAGTAGAATTTGGAGGGGCTCAGGATTGAAATCGCTCAGTATGGTGCGAGTCAGGTCCAGCTCCTTTAGCTGATGCACGGTTGGGTACAGGAACAAGTTGTCCATTTCTGATTCTGAAAACCAGCACTCAGTTAGTGTCAAGGACTCCAAGGGGGTCTTGAGGCACCTGGGGAGAGAATGAGCACTTAGTCCTGGGAATAGCAGTGGTGAGTGGAGGCTGGTGGGGAAGCAGCTCTAGGCAGGAGAGTGTTTCACTCAAACACACAAGCTTGTCCTCAACACCTTGTGATGTCCAACACCCAGAGTGCTGTATGTGCAAGACTCTGCTCATTCTAGTCTGTCCCTCTGTAGGCTGAGTCCTCCCACCATCACTTGTATCCCTGGTCAAGCCCACAGAATCGTACTGCCTCAGCCTCCCGAGTAGCTGGGACTACAGGCATGCACCACTATGCCTGGCTTGCTTATTTATTTATTGATTGATTGATTGAGACAGAGTCTTACTTTGTTACCCAGGCTAGAGTGCCGTGGTGTCAGCCTAGCTCACAGCAACCTCAATTTCCTGGGCTCAAGCGAACGTTCTGCCTCAGCCTCCTGAGTAGCTGGGACTACATGCGCCACCATGCCTAGCTAATTTTTTGTATATATATTTTTAGTTGTTGAATTAATTTCTTTCTATTTTTAGTAGAGACAGGGTCTCGCTCAGGCTGGTTTCGAACTCCTGACCTCGAGCAATCCTCCGGCCTCGGCCTCCCAGAGTGCTAGGATTACAGTAATTTTTTTAATATATGTTTTTAGTTGTCCAGTTAATTTCTTTCTATTTTTATTTTATTGCTTTAGTAGAGACGGGGTCTTGCTCTTGCTGAGGCTGGTTTCGAATTCCTGAGCTAAAAAGATCTGCCCGCCTCAGCATCCCAGAGTGCTAGGATTACAGGCATGAGCCACCACGCCCGGCCAAGCCCACAGAATCTCTAAAACTGTACCCTCCCGTTGGCAGCTAACCATGTCTCTGGGCTGCATGAGCCCACTGGGAGACAGGCATAAAGGACACGCCAGGGCAAGATCCAGCAACAGCAGCTGGGATTTCCAGCCTGCGGGATCACTGACACACCTGTGTCATCAGCAAACGCCTTTTAAAGTTCTTCAGTCCTGCTCCCTCATCCTCTATTCCACAAGCATGTGTTTCCCATGTTAATGACCTTTCCTGTGCTCAGACATCCTGTGACATACGGGCAGTCAGAGACAGGATGGCGTTCACTATGCTGGTGGGACTGTAGCTTGTGTGTGCGCGCTGCGCAGGTGCGGCGTGCTTTCCCTCCTCCAGTAACCTCCCTGTAACTTATTTCTCAGCAACTTAGTCACATTTCTTAAAAAGTAATTCTCGAACTTCCCCTCACAGTCTCTGACCTGCCCTGTAGCTAGCTGTCCAGCAGTGTCCCTCTGAGCAGCCTCTACCCCAGTTTATCCCTCTGCCTTCACTGGGGAGGTGATGTGACATGTGCTTCAGGACAGAGCAGTGAACACACCAAGGCTTTGACATCCTGTGTCTCCTTCACTGTTAAATGCTCATCTGCTGGCACAGAGTATTGTCCTTTATTGTTTACTATCACAAGGGAAGCTTTGGTCTGCTGTGCAGAGCAAGCTCACCATCCTTGCTCACCTGACTAACTGGTCCAGATGATCCTTGAGGAAGGGGACCCTGTGCAGTTGAAGCTTGTGGAAGTTGTCCAGCTTGAGCAACGTAGACATGAATCTAGCAACTATCTGTCCCACCCTTTCTGACCAAGTGTAGTTAGGCTCCAAGATGTAGGTGAAGTGGAGTTTATGAAGACTCTTCATCTGAGCCAGGTAAGGGACAAACCATCCTACTTGGTAAAGTCCCCAGTAGTTACGTATTTTTACGTCCTGGATACACTTTAGCTCCACCATTTCTAAAAACTTCTTGAGACTGTAGATTTGCTTTCCACAGAGCACCACCTTCTTACAGCACAGGTGTACTAAATCCTTCCTCTGCTGGGCCCATTCACAGACATACGTGAGAAATTCATGTTGGTTAGTATCGTGGATACAAAGGAAGTCTACAACCACCTTCAGTGGCCACTGCCTTCCTGTGCATGGACAGTCCTCCCCTGTTTGCCTCTGACTCATGACATGTGAGGATCTCACAGGGGCTCCAGACCACACGCTCCAGAAGTTCTCATCAACTTCCCGTAAATCCAGCACTTGCAGTTCCCACCCACTGTGGGTAAAACATAGGAAAGTCTCAGATTTAGGCAAAGACCACTACAACGTGAGCTTTCATTCCCCACCCCAGACATCAGCCACTCCCATCCCTGCTTCTTTGCCCTCCCGATTGTTCCTTGCCCTTTCCCCGACTGGATGTTTTCCAGTGTCCGCTTCTCTTGCCTTTTAGTGGCACCAGAGGAAGCAAGTTCATTCCCCTTTGGGGTCGCTGCACAGTGAGCAGTCGCAGCCTTCCAGGGGCTCTTTCCCAGAGTGGGCTCAGCAATGGGCAGGTCTCTGAGCTTCCTCACTGGCACCATCAGGAGCTTCTGGTCCACCCTTGGGCCCCCACTCTCCTTGACCCAGCTGTCTGTCCCCAGACCCCTAGGCCCTCCCTACCAGGCTCCCTGTGTCAGCCTTACCTGGGGCGAACCTTCTGGGCAAGCAGCACATCCAGCCCATCCAGCACAGCTCTTAGGGTCTCCAGGTCAGGGGTCAACATCAGGGCCCCCAGAGGCAGGCGGGTGAAGGGCCAGGCCTGCACCATGGCCGTCAGGACTTTTCTCTGTCTCTTGGTGAAGGCCTCCATGAATAGTTGTGGGAAAAGGTCCCTTGGCAGCTCCTCCAGAGCAGGGATGGCCACGGCCTCGTCCCTCAGCAGGCTCTGCCTCGCCAGTTGCAGGAGTGTGGGTGGGGCCTGGAGGCTCATCCTGATGAAAATCTGCAAGAAAAACATCCTCAGGACAAATCCATAGAAAGTGCATCCTTTGCAATCCAGTCGTGATCAACTCCATCTTCTCCTAGAGCCAGTGTCCCTGCTGTGGGAGAGGCGTACTAGTCCACAGTTTCCCCAATTGTACTTTGTACTCCCTGGCCATGAAGGCATAGCTCTGGCACCAGGCCACTGTCTCCTAACTACCAAGGAGGGACAGCTTGACCACTGCCCCACTGATTATCACCCGATACTCTACTAAATCCCGGTATTACTGGTAAGTGTTACTGGGCAGGCTGAGGCTAGCCTCCAACCTTTTTGTGGAGAAATTCCTGATCTCTAAAACAATGGAAACGGCAGAGTCCTGGGGCCCAACACTGCCCACATTCTCAGTTCACACAATCTGGCTAGGGAATATTAAAAGGACATCCTGACTGGGCAACGTGGCTCACGCCAGTAATCCCAACACTGTGGGAGGCTGAGGCAGGAAGACTGTTTGAGGCCAGGAGTTTGAGACAAGGCAAGAGGGATACCTTTCTTACAACATTCCTACCCCCATAATATTCTGAAATAAAAATACAATAAAATAAAAGAAGTTTGAAATGAGGTAAAGCAAATCATGAATCAGAATTTTTGCAATGAAGATAAGACTACATGCAAAGTAATAATGTCTGGGTACTTCTCTGTGTCATCTTGAGCTCTCCTACCTGAGACTGACAGATGGTAGATCACATGGGACTGTCCCTATGGAGGTGGCTGACTTACCAGATCTGGACCTCAGGCAGAAGCAACCAGTAACTCCAGTTTGGAGGGCTTTGGGACTCTCTGTGGATCTTCAGGAGCTCACATTGATCTTTCCAGTTGCTCCTCCCCTTTTCAACTAGCAGCTTCCAATCAGAATGTGGTATTTGATGAGATTCCTGAAACTCCACCCAGCTCCCCCTGATGGACTTTTGGCTCTCTCCATATTGATTTACTGAATCAGATATCCAGTCATGAAACTGAAAGAATTAGGGATAGGATGAAAGTCAAGAATTTCATTCCTGGCTGGGCGTGGTGGCTCATGCCTATAATGCTAGCACCATGGGATGCCAAGGCGGGCAAATTGCTCCAGGTCTGAAGTTCAAAACCAGCCTGAGCAAGAGCAAGACCCCATCTGTTCTAAAAATACAAAGAGATTAGCCAGACAACTAAAAATATGTAGAAAAAATTAGCTGGGCATGCCTGTAGTCCCAGCTACTCAGTAGGCTGAGGCAGAAGGAGTACTTGAGCCCAAGAGTTTGAGGTTGCTGTGAGCTAGGCTGATGCCATGGCACTCTAGCCTTGGCAACAGAGTGAGGCTCTTTCTCAAAAAAAAGAATTCATTCCTTCAGGCACTCCCACAAACATTGATGGAGTTTTACTTCTATGTGGCTGTCATAGTCCTGATGGGAGACAAGAGAGTTTAACTTGTTGCTCACATTAGACAGAAAAGACAAAACCTGAAAGTATGGTGTTACTGGGAGATTGTGGCTGTGTCAAAATTATGAAATGTTTTCATAGTTCAAACAGCTTTTTAATTTTTTTGGGGGAAAGGGACAGTTATCATCTTTCTTCTAGCCTATGCACAGAGCTGATCAGAACCATTTAGTATAAAGGACATTATGGCAGAGGGGTCAGAAACCAAATGGAACTAGTGATATTAATCCTCTGTGTTAGGAAGCCCTGTGAGGAAACCAGTGTCCTTCACTGATCACGAAGGTGACCATGACAGCAGAGGGTCCTGAACATAGCACACTGCTACCTCAAATGCCTGGGCTTAGGGAATCTTTCTGGCTCAGGCTCCTTTGTAGCTGAGGTAGAGTCGAGCTTGTGCTCTTTTTCAGGCTGATCTTGAACTCCTGACCTTAAGGATTACAGGCGTGAGCCTCTATGCCCCACTCAGGAGTTCCAGAACAGCCTCAGCCAGGGTGAGACCTTGTCTATGCCAAAAATAGAAAATATTATCACTCAGTGAGTAAGCATGGCAAACAAGAAAAAAGAAAAACAAAATGAGAAAAAATTAGTCAGGCGTGGTAGCCTATGCCTATAGTCCCAGCTATTCTGCAGGCTGAGGCAGTAGGATCGCTTGAGCCCAGGAATTTGAGGTTGTAGTGAGGTATAATGACACCACTGCACTCTAGCCAGGGTGACATAGGGAGACCTTGTCTCAAAAAAGAAGAAAAGGAAAGAAAAAGGAAAAGCGTATATAAATACCTGTAACATCCAAAATATGTCTCAGTCTACTGTTTATATCATTAATATGGCTTCTGCTTAACAGTGGGATGTTAGTAGTTGAGATTTTGGGGAGTCAGAAGTGACATGGGGGTTTTTGAATATGTGGGCTGTTGGCTCCTCTGCAGTCACATGCTCTACACTGAGTTCTAGCTCCAAGGGTCAGCTGCCCTGATTCTCCTGTTGTGTAAGGGTTACCTTTACTTTTTTTTTCTTTTGTAATTGAGATTTTATTGGTTATGTTGAGGATCAGTACAGACATTTTAATTCGTACACAGTCCTTAACATAGGTACCAAAAATCTAAAAAGCCATTTATTTTCATTCTTTTTAAAAGTTATTCCAGGCCGGGTGTGGTGGCTCACGCCTGTAATCCTAGCTCTCTGGGAGGCTGAGGTGGGTGGATCGTTTGACCTCAGGAGTTCGAAACCAATCTGAGCAAGAGCGAGACCCTGTCTCTACTATAAATAGAAAGAAATTAATTGGCCAACTAATATATATAGAAAAAATTAGCCGGGCATGGTGGTGCATGCCTGTAGTCCCAGCTACTCGGGAGGCTGAGGCAGGAGGATTGCTTGAGGCCAGGAGTTTGAGGTTGCTGTGAGCTAGGCTGACACCACGGGACTCTAGCCCTGGCAACAGAGTGAGACTCTGTCTCAAAATAAAGAAAAAAGAAAAAAACAAAGTTATTCCAGTGACTTTCCAGCTTAAAATTTGGAGACAAATTTTCCTTAAGAGGATATCAAGTACCAGTATCTTCTTCTTCTTCTTCTTTTTTTTTTTTTTTGAAACAGAGTCTCGCTTTGTTGCCCAGGCTAGAGTGAGTGCTGTAGCATCAGCCTAGCTCATAGCAACCTCAGTCTCCTGCGCTGAAGCAATCTCCTACTGCCTCAGCCTCCCGAGTAGCTGGGACTACAGGTATGTGCCACCATGCCCGGCTAATTTTTTTTGTATATTTATATTTTAATCGATCAATTAATTTCTTTCTATTTGTAGTAGAGTTGGGGTCTTGCTCTCAGGCTGGGTTCAAACTCCTGACCTCGAACAATCAGCCCGCCTGGGCCTCCCAGAGTGCTAGGATTACAGGCGTGAGCCACCGTGCCCGGCCAGTATCTTCTAATGTTCATAAGCTAATACATAAGTAACCACCAATTCACAGTTTCTTATCATATATACTACATACTCAAATTTTCGATCTTTCACAGCACATTAGCAAAGTTATTCAGAAAACAGGACTACCATGGCCAAAGATGTTACAGAATATACGTGATTCTGACAGAGATAACCATGATCAAGGAGTGGTTTTCTTTAGGAAACAAGTCTACTAAAAAACAACATGGGAATACAAGTAATTTAAAGTGTCCAAGACATTAAATGCAGGCCTAGGATTCCATATTGCAATTTAGTATGCTTTATATTATAGGATATAAAAACTAACCCCATCTATGGAATGCGAAGCTGACACCCAAGACAGTCAAAGCCTCCCATAATTCAATATCCCACACTATTTTCTGGTTGTACCAAAAAATAAACAACCAGCGAATGATTTCACCTCTTAAAAAAAAGCATTTACACTTAAAAAAATGGGATGAGGTGGGATTCCCTCCTTCTTAAAAATGTTTCTAGAGCTACTAAAAAACTTGTATTTACAAAATAGTTGCTTCTAGTGTTGATACATTCAGGCACAAAAATTAAAAAAAAAAAAAAAAGAAAAAAATTTAAAAGAGAAAAAAAATAAAATAAAATAGTTGCTAAAAACATTCCTTTGGCTTGTACAAGAAGGGAGACAGGGACCACTGATAAGACATGCTATATGATATTAATCAGACTTGACTTCTTTCTCTCCTGCTTCTTCAGAGGCTGGACTCTCCTCAGTTTTAGTTTCTCCATTTTCTGCAGGTAAATCTTCTTTAGTTTCTTGATTAGCCACTTCAGCCTGTTTTCCCTTTTGGTTACACTTTTTTGTCTGAAGATTTATCCTTTGCTGCTACCTTTTTGGGCTTTGTTTCCACTTTCGCAGGAGCAGGTTTAACTGACAGCCGCGCAGATCTCCTTTGGGCTCTTCCTTCCCCACACCTTCAGCCCAGCTGACCTTCCTCTTAGGCATCTTGGTGGTGGGGAGGGTACGTGGGTACCTGCAGGCCTAGGCTCACCCAGAGCCTTCGCCAAGCTGGGCTGCCTGGCCTCTGTTATGGCTCCCACCTCCAGAGCTGCTGAGACCCACCACGGGGGAGGTGGGAGAACCAGATGAAACCGATTGGGAGCCTGCCTCCTCACCCTGAGTCCCCCAGCCACAGGCTCTCCCTCCCCATGGCTAAGGGTCACCTTTACTTTTAATGTGTGTAGTTTTTGTTGTATTTTTGTGAGACAGAGTCTCACTCTGTTGCCCAGGCTAGAGTGCCCTGGTGTCAGCCTAGCTCACAGCAACCTCAAATTCCTGAGTTCAAACTATCCTCCTGCCTCGGCCTCCCACAGTGCTAGGATTACAGGAGTGAGCCACCACGCCCAGCCTAATCTGTGTAGTTTTGTATGAACAAATTATAGCAACATAGAATGCAGTTTTCAATCTACATGAATTGATAGAAACAAATCTCAAAAAAAGAAAGATCTTTCCCCAGAAAGCACATTGAGAAGGATATATAAAGTATGACATTGATGTGAATTTTACCAATATTGAAAATAATTTCTATTTTTGATGAACACATGTATGAAGAATATAATTAAAACATGGACTGCCGGGTGCAGT